GGTTCATATGACAGGTTCATTTTTAGTTTTTTAAGAGTTCTCCACACTGTTTTCCATAGGGGTTACATGAATTTGCAATTCCACCAGCAGTGAATGAGCGTTCCCCTTTCTCCACATCCTTGCCAGGACTTGGTATCATTTGTTCTCTTGATCCTAGCCAGTCTGATTGGGGTAAGGTGATACCTTAGGGTCGCTTTAATTTGCATTTCCTTAATTACTAAGAATGTTGAACACTTTTTGAGATGTTTCTTAGCCATCATTATTTCTTCCTCTGAGAACTCTCTGCTTAGATCTTTAGCCCATCTTTTAATTTGGTCATTTGTTTTCTTGGTTCTTTGTTTTTTGAGTTCTTTATATATTCTGGATGTTAAACCTCTGTCGAATGTTTCACTGGTGAAGATTTTTTTCCCACTCTGTGGGTTTTCTCTTCACTTTCTTGATTCTTTTGCTGATTTTTTCTTTTAGCTTTTTAGTTTAATGAGGTGTCCCACTTGTTGATTGTTGACCTTAATTCCTCAGCAACTTCTGTCTGATTTAGAAAATCCTTTCCTACACCTATATCTTGTAAGTTATGTGAGTGGTACAGTTCTTCAACTTAATCCTTCAGTGTTGATATTTTGTTTGCCATTTCATTCATTCTAGTGGTGAGGCTTTCCCCTGTTGTTTCAAGTTGAGTTACTGAGTTTCCACTTCATTTCTGCCTGAATTTTCTTCAGTGTGTCTATCTCTTTCGTGAATTCATTCAGAAGTTTATCCCTATCTTTTAGTTCTTTGATTTGTTTGTTTGTGTGTTCTTTAAAGGAATTCGTTGAATTCCTTGATCTTGTTTTTGACTTCTTTTCAATTCAGTGTCCTAGGTTTTCTCTAGGGCGTTCTCCTTGTTGAATTTTTGTAGAGGACTGGTTGAGTTTGGTGGGGAAATAGTGTTTTGGCTTTCCATTTTATTATTCTTTCGTTGTGATTTTGGCATGTGAATTTCTTTTGTTGTTTATGATTCTGATAGGAGAATTAAGTTGAAGTATGCTTCTGTTTGTATGATTGGGTGCCCTGGTCCTTTCCTTATTGGTTATGTAAGGGTTGTTTCAGTTTCTCTCAGGTTTTATTTTGGAGGGAACTGATGGTTTTAGATCAGCTGTTCAGGAGCACCCACAGAAGCCCAAGTCTGGTTCCAGTCAGGTACACTCAGGCTTCCTTCTAAGGTTTGGACCCCTATTAGCAGGAACACAGAGAAAATTTGGGGAATTCCCTAAGGGTGCGGGGTTAGGGGATTTTGAGACTCTCAGTTGGTCTGCTGTGTTCTCAGCCCCTATGTCAGAGGGAGGCCAGAGCCTGGCAGTCTCTGGTGGTATGCTGAGATGCTGGCTTTTTTCATAAAAGGTCCATAATCATTGGTAAGTTGTGGTTTTACTAAATTAAATTCCATTTATCATGTAGTGCTTGTTGGAGGCAGTGACTTAAAGATGCTACAGCACAATTTCATTTTCAAGTAGCAGAAGTTGGAGCTGGAGAGATGGCTCAGAGATGAAGAGCAGTGGCTGCTCTTGAATTCAAGTTCGAGTCCCAGCATCTACATTTTAGCTAATAACTATCTGTAACTACAGTTCCAGGGGTATCTGATGCCCTCTTCTGACAAACGTGGGCATTACATGATGCAGTTACATATATGCAGGCAGTACACTCATACACATAAAATAAAAATAAGCTGGAGAGATGGCTCAGAGATGAAGAGCAGTGGCTGCTCTTGAATTCAAGTTCGAGTCCCAGCATCTACATTTTAGCTAATAACTATCTGTAACTACAGTTCCAGGGGTATCTGATGCCCTCTTCTGACAAACGTGGGCATTACATGATGCAGTTACATATATGCAGGCAGTACACTCATACACATAAAATAAAAATAATACAGCCTGGTCTACATAGTGAGTTCCAGGACAGCTGGGGCTACAGGGAGACCCTGTCTCAAAAAGACCAAAAAATA